TATAGAGTGCTCATACAACTCTACGAAAGGAAGACAAAGAACCCAATTAAAAAATGGGCAGAGGAGCTGAATAGACACCTCTCCAAACAGGACATACAAATGGCCAAAAGACATATGAAGAAATGCTCAACATCACTAATCATCAGAGAGATGCAAATTAAAACAACAATGAGGTATCACCTCACACCTGTCAGAATGGCCACCATCAACAAATCATCAAACAACAAGTGTTGGCGAGGGTGTGGAGAAAAGGGAACTCTAATACACTGCTGGTGGGAATGCAGACTGGTGTAGCCGCTATGGAAAACAATATGGTGCTACCTCAAAAAATTAAAAATTGAACTTCCATTTGACCCAGTTATCCCACTGCTGGGAATATACCCTAAGAAGCCTGAAACACCAATCAGGAAGAATATTTGTACCCCCATGTTCATAGCAGCACTATTTACAATAGCTAAGATCTGGAAACAGCCCAAGTGTCCATCAGTAGACGAATGGATAAAAAACCTGTGGTACATATACACAATGGAGTACTATGCAGCGGTAAGAAAGAAAGATCTCTTATCCTTTGAGACGACATGGAGGGACCTGGAAAGTATTATCCTAAGTGAAAGAAGCCAAGCAGAAAAAGACAAATACCACATGATCTCACTTATATACAGAATAAAATGAACATAACAGTCTGAGGAATACAGTAGACCCAGACACATGGAAGTAGGGCACAGACTTACATCCCTCAGAAGAGGGGATGGGGGGGAGGGTGGGGGGGGTGGGAAGAGATAAACCACAGAACTTATATGCATCTATGCATGACCAATGGACATGGACAACTACGCCGGGGACGGGGCGGAGGTGGGGTGGGGTGGGGGGTGCCAATGGGGTAAAAAGGTAAAATATCTGTAATAAAAAAATAAATAAAAATTCATATAAAACTTGAAAAAAAAATAAAATGGGCACTAACAAAATAAGTAAAAAAAATAAAATTAAATTAAATTAAATTAAATTAAATTTAAAAAAAAAAAAGAAATGAAACACTTTCGTAATGCAATTTTTAAAAACGTCAAATATCCTGCCCTGGCCGGTTTGGCTCAGCGGTTAGAGCGATGGACTGTGGTCCAGAGAGACCCAGGTTTGGTTCCCGCTAAAGGCCCATACTTTGGTTGCAGTTTGTCCCCGGCCCTGGTTGGTCATGCGGGTGGCAGCCACTCGATGTGTCCCTTTCACATCCATGTTTCTCTCTCTCTCCCTGCCACTCTATCTGAACCAAAAAAGAAGAAAGAAAAATGTCCTCGGGTGAGAATAAAAAATAAAGAAAGTCAAATATCCTTCTTGGTGTTTACTAGAAAATAAACCCAATCAACATATTTTACTATGTGAATTACACATAGTAAAATCTCATTAATTGGAACCAAGGGAAAATCAATGTGAATGGTAGAATGTTTAGAAGGAGATGCAATTTTGCCCCTGGCCAATATAGCTCAGTTGGTTTTTTTTTTGTTTTTTTTTTAAATTTTGTTTTTCTTTATTGATTTGAGAGAGAGAGAGGGAGAGAAAGATATAGAAACATCAATGAGAGAGAATATCGACTGGCCACCTCCTGCATGTCCTTCAATGAGGATTTGGCCCACAACCTGGGCATGTGCCTTGACCAGTAATCGAACCAGTGTCCTCTTGGTGCATGGTTCGACGCTCAACCACTGAGCCATACTGGCCAGGTGGTTGAGCTTCTTCACATGCACCAAAAGGTTACAGGTTTGATTCCCAGTCAGGGCACATGCCAGGGTTGCGGGGTCGGTCCCCAGTGGGGGATGAGTGGGAGGAAGCCAACTGATGTTTCTTTCTCATTTTTTTTTTTTTTTTACTCCTCTCTCTCTCTCTAAAAATCAGTGGGCATATCCTTGAGTGAGAAGTGAAAAAAAATAATTAAAGGCCAAGGCTTTTTTTTGAAGTGGCTAGTTTCCCTGAAATCTTTTAAAAACTATTTAATTTTTGGTTTATAAATGTTATAAAGCAGTGAAGTTCTAATTAATAAAATTTTACTACATTTGGGAATTCATATTTTGAGTACTACTTTGACAACTTCAAAATAATATGTACAAAAATTTAGTACAAAAATCAATTTTCCCCAGAGGTAAGACTTTGTTTTCTGACACGATGTTAATTAGTCATGGCACATCAAAATCTAATTTTCCAATGCTATCTCACATATTTTGCCTTTTATATACCAATCTCTACTGTTTGGATATACTCACAGAATACAAAATAATTTTATCCAAACAAAAATAAGATATGAAAAATCAAAATAAACCTATGACATTATGAAGGTAAATTATTCCATGATTATATGATTTAGAATTATACCCTCCAACAGTGTAGACTCTAAAAAATTCCTAAATTACAATGAAAACTGTTATCTTGAAGTCAGAGGCTTTAAAAAGCTCAATGCCCCTTTGCAAATGCTATCTAACTTTTGTAAAGTCAAATATACTCAAACCATTAACATTATATGAAGGTCATTAATGCAAAATAAATCAGCAAAAACTATGACTATGTTCTGTGACTTCTGTGACTTTTGAAAACTATGCTAGTTCCTAAAATCTTCTAGTAGCACTTAAATAATACAACATGGACCTTGGCTAAAAGGACAATGAAGTGAGAAATACATATATTGATTAAGTAGACAAATATATATATACATATATATACACACACACATATATATATTTTAAATAGACAAAATGAAATACCATATTAAATATCACATTATCTTGAGGACTGTAGCAAAAGTTATTTTTTTTAATTGAAAATATACTTTAATCAAAAGAAAAACCGTCATATACTGACTATGAATAACCCATATGGCCTGTATGGGAGGTTCAAGGGGAGATACAGTACAGTATTTTAGCTGCCAGTACTGTCAGTCTCAAGAGGCCGAAGGCTTAGTACATCCCTTGGAAGAGAAATGTGGTAAAAAAAAAAGTTTATTTCTTTTTTTTTTTTTTTCCTCCAAATGTGGTTAAATAAATCAGATATCCCCAATGTAATGAAGACTTGCCCTGGCCAGTTTGGCTCAGGGGATACAGCGTTGGCCTGCAGTCCAGAGAGACCTGGGTGTGGTTCCCGCTAAGGGCACATACCTCTCTTGCAGTTTGTCTGGCTCTGGCTGGGTTGTGTGGGAGGCAACCACTTGATGTGACCCTTTCTCGTTGATGTTTCTCTCTCTCTCCCTCCCACTCCATCTGAACAAAAAATGGAAAAATGTCCTCGGGTGAAGATAAAAAAAAAAAGTAATGAAGACTCATTTCAAGTAATTACTCTGCTTATAAGTTTTATTTACACAGTAATTGTTAATAGTGGTTTATAGTGAATTCCTTGTATTTACATTTTATATACACATTTATATTTCAAAGGTAAAGAAACTGTACAATAATAAAGATGAGAAAAAGAAATACAATAACTTAGGTCCAACTCAGAAAAGAAATACACAAAAGGAAGATTAAACTCAGGCAGGTAGTATAACCTCAGTGAGATTACTGCCAGGGCTTACATTCCCTCTATCAGGGTCACCAATGTGAAGGAAGTAGTTACCAGAGTCAAAAATGTTATTGTAAACCTGTAAGACACTGGGTACTCCCCCTAATATTTTATTACACTACTAGTTTCCACTAAGCAAGCTCCTATGACAGGAGTTAACTTCTGAGGGTTCCACTAGTGGTCCCTAGGCTAGAATGACCCATGGGGTAAAAATATATGGGCACATCTGGTCCCATACTCCTAAAGAGGCAGTCACTACACTAACAAGGTTCTCGGGCTTGTTAGTTTGAAGACAATATACTACTAACAGAAACAGTGTGCTTAAGTGTTGTTTCAAACCAAACTGTAACATAAAAGCACATCATAAATCTAATTATTAACTGAACAACATGTTATATAAATACCACTCATAATATTCAAGTGATTTATTTTAGGTTTAAGAATTAAACATATTATAATAAATTTTATGTCAATTTACCAATAATTAATCATTTCTTTATCCACTATACCATCAATGTTTGACTCAATAGAAAAAAGTTCATTTTATCTTTTGCTTTTACTCTTATTTCCTTTGATTAGAAAATTATGCACAGTATTTTACAAGTCATAGACTTGGCTACATATTAAGATTTCAAATTTCAAACTGAAATTAACAAATTTTATTTCTACAAACAGTGAAGGAATTTTAACTAAAAAATCTCAAGTCTTGCCCAGCTGGTGTGGCTCAGTGGATTGAGCATCATCCCATGGACTGAGAGGTCCCGGTTTGATTCCAGGTCAGGGCACATGCTTGATCCCCAGTAGGGGGCGTGTAGGAGGAAGCCAATTGACGTTTCTCTCTCGAATAGATGTTTCTCTCTCTCTCTAAAAAAAAAAATCAATAAAAACATATAAAAAAAAAAATCTCAAGTCTTGCCAAGAACTGTCAGAATTCATACTTTTTACTCTCACCAGTGAAAAACCCATTTATATTTTTGGACTTACTTCTCAGATCAAGTCTTCAGTCCACTAAAGTGCAAAGAACTTTCCTTCTACCAGTTAGGTTTCTTAAATTACTAGATGAATGATTTTTTAGACTAGAAACAGAAAGGCTCAACTTCTTTGAGTAACAGGAATTCTTTAAGGGGAAAAACAATTTCCCTTAAAAAACAAATAGACATGATACAGTGGAAAAACACCTAAACATATGCAAATCAATTTCCCAACTATTTCCAGTTCCTAGATAACCAAGATTTGCCCCAACCTGTGAATGAAGATAAACAACTTCAGTAATTTAAATAATTTTCAACCAAAGTTGCTTAATCTTGGTCTACAATATCTTCAAAAGGACAGAACTAGAGATAGACAAAATCTGTACTAAGGTATGTATTTCAAATAGTATTTTGGAAGTTAAAGTAGTATTTAACACTCCTGCTCTGACCTCCAAAGTGCCTTTATGGTAACTGTTAAAAAGTAAAAAATTGAAGTATTTCCAAAGCTGTAAAAAAATTTTATTGCATTACTGTTCACTCCAAATCATGGTATACGAACTAGCCATTTAAACTTTTCTTTTGTAAAATGACTCTCCCTACAAAATACTTTTTTATTAATACTGTCAATAGGTTACTTATTTCATTTACTTCAGCCATGGAATTCGAAATCAGCAGTTTTCCATATCTTGATTCTTTTAGATTTCTCCAAGCTTTTTACATAGGAAACAAAAAGCTTTTATAAAAAAAAAATATTTGTATTCCAATTAGTCTGTTAATTTTGAAGATCAGCTTTTCAGAGCAGGACTATTATTCTTGTCTCCTTCTTTGATATCCTTCATTACAGATGCAAAGACCTGAAATCATACAGAGTAAAAAGATTAATCCTCAAAAAACTACCATATAAATTTAAGAGATTTAAATAACTTTAGTTTATTAACGTGAAAAAGCTTTACTGTAAGTGTATGTTAACTCTGTCCCCAAAGCTAAGTTTGAGCCTAACATTCCCAAATCCCTGTTTGACTCAACCCAATCTTATGGTATATAATTAGTTTCTAGTCTTCATCACTTGTTAAATACAGGGTGGGGCAAATGTAGGTTTACAGTTGCTCACATGGAAAATAATACAATAATTAATAAATAATAAAACAAGAATAAACTCTGTGTTTCATGTACTCACAACTGTAAACGTACTTTTGCCCCACCCTGTATTCTTAAATTATTGTTTGGTAATAGAACATTTTTTTGGATCAATATTCTTACATTTCATTTTCATAAGCAATAAAACTGAGTTTATTTATAATGCCTATTGTCTATCATTCATGGAACAAATAATAATGCTATCTTTTATGTCATTTAACTTAGACTGCCAATGTTTGCTTTCCTAATAAGACTAAGCATCTAAAAAAATCAGGATCATACATCATTTTCTTTCTATTGCAAATCCTTAGTACACAGCAGGTGTTTAATACAATTGTTGTCTATTTGAAATAGCAAATAATAAATTTGCTTTGGCAAAGACATGACTGTTGTAGATTTTACTTGACTAAACTCATAAAATATTACTGTATTTACAGAAAAATAAATCCATAGGTTTGGAGGGGTGGAAGAGAATCAATCTGTTTTAAACTCTTACTTTTTCAAAGCCAAGAATTATTTTTAAAAGATTTTCAAAAATTTAAGCACTAACATTTGAGAAATACATAACATTTTTATAAAAAGTCAGCTGATTGTTTTAACACATCTATTAGAAGTAGGAAAATATCACTTTACCTGAGTCCATTTTTTGGTGCTATTCTGCATTTGAATTGCTGCAATGCAGCTAAACAGCTTTTCTGATGTAATATCTTCTGGTAATTTAGTTAGAAACTGTGCTATATGAATAAAATCCATCTGTAGGAGAATATCTTCATATAACCGGAGGATCCCTAATCCAGTCCTAAATAAAAATTCCTCCCCATCTCTGCAAAATACATCCCAGACTCGACATGCCAGATCAAGTGGTAGTGATTTGCTATATAGGGTGAAGATCCTAAAATTAGGGGCGGGGGAGAAATAGTCATTGAAAAATTTCATTTATTTATTCATTCACTCATTAAGCATTTCTATATAAAAAGAACTGTGCTTAATTAGGGATAAAAAGGCAAATAAAATTTGGCTCCTTCCCTCAAAAAGCTTGAGTAACACAAAATTAAGTAATAAATAAGTGAATTCTGTGAATTTACAACCTTATGTGGACATGGCCCAATACAAACTACAGTGGCAGAACAGCCTAGCTGTTAAGGGTATGGCTCTGAAACCAGAATGCCTGAGTGTGAACTTAGATATGCAACTTATTAGTTGTGTTACCTTGAGCAAGATTATTCATTCTTGTTGTGCCTCAGTTTCCTTATTAGTATGCTAAAGATAATGCCACCTACCTCTTAGGATTGTTTTGAAAATTAAAGGGGTTAATAAATGTAAAGTGTTTTTAGAACAGTGACTAGCACATAAGAAATACTCAATATAAGTTATTATTATTATATAAGAAATCCAAGTATCATCTTCTAGTAACCTAAATACAAAACTATAAAGTCTTACGTCTCTCTTTTCTCTTCTCCTTCCACAAACATCCACTGGTTTTTTTCCCCGCCCTTAACCAAACTATTTCCTACTTCTTTTGGAGCAATGTATAAGCTCCAACAGAATCACAAATAGTTTCTTCACATCCTTGCTGACAATGTCTGATCATGTAATGCATTATCCTGTGGTGTTTCGGGGTGGCATTCTGGTTGGTGAAGTAGGGAGAATAGGGGGTAGAGAACTCCTTAAGGTTGCATTGACAAAGAAAGTACAGTTTGTACACAGTATCTCTTTATGGTTAGGGCTGAAACCTGAGAAAGGGAAGTAAAAATTCTCCAACCAAAAAAAAAAAAAGAGGACTCTTTAGCACTGCCACTTATTTATTCTTCTGTTTTCCTGCACAACTGATCCTGGGATTTGTATGTAATAAGTTCAACAGAGGCAGTGAAACAAAAATCTGTGTCTACTTCTGAAAGTAGAAACACCTATTTAATTGCATAACAAAAAGAATACTCTTGATGACTCTTGGTGGCACGGAGGATACTCACTATTCAAAATGAGAAAGGGTACCAGCAGTGCCTTAGGCAGTTTCTAATACAGAGTACTCCCTTATTATCAGTTCCATCCTGCTTCCTATCTCAATTGTGATCCTGATTTGCCTCATGTTCACATTACTCAAGACTGACAATTAAGTTATTTTACCCATTTCTTTACAGATTTAGTATTTGATCTTGGCTCCTCTAGGTACCATGATATAATAACCATTAACTTGGGACTTTCCCAGAGGAACGCTAAATGTTCCTCGTGGGAATGAAAAATACACTGAAAAAAATTTTTTTTTTAAAACCCTAAATAAAAGAAGCCCAAACAACTGGAAAAATATCACATTTGCTCAGTGCCATTAATTATTTTTCTATATTAAAAATTATTATCGTTTACATGAAACCCACTGATTTCAAATGATTAGGATTTAAGGTTTAAATGTTTCATATGTACTCTTAACCTATCTTAAGACCAATTCTCCCATCTCTTTGGCAAAATTCATCTGCCATTCTATAATCAACTGGCTGTCATTCACCAGAATCTTAGGCAAACTCTCTAAGTTAAAATAGAAGAGCTGGAATTACAAAGTTGAAAAGACATTAGCACCTAAATAAGACACCACTCCTCTGTCAGAAAGCTGGACAAAGCCTTGAAAAAAACAAAGCCCTCAGTTATAAAAAACACTATCATAATAACTACAATAAGCCATTGGGAGTTAACTAAATAAAGACATAGCAACCAACTCTTTCTGAAAGCTTGGTATGTACTAGGCATTGAATGAGATAATCCATGTAAAACACCATCACTACAACTCAAAATATATTGTTATTCCCATTTTAGAGCTAAGAAACTAAAACACAAACTGAGAGATTCTGATTTCAACCCCCAAGTCCAAGCTCTTAATCAAATGCCTCCCCACAAAAATATGAGAGTTTCTCTATTTATTGTTTTTTTATCCTCAACCGAGGACATTCTTCCACTTTTTGTTCAGATAGAGTGGGAGGGAGAGAGAGAGAGAGAGAAACATTGACGTGAAAGGGACACATTGAGTGGCTGCCTCCCACACAACCCAACCAGGGCCGGGGACAAACTGCAACCGAGGTACGTACCCTTAGCGGGAACCGAACCCGGGTCTCTCTGGACCACAGGCTGATGCTCTAACCACTGAGCAAAACCGGCCAGGGCGAGAGTTTCTCTATTTATAAGAAGAGTTTTTTATATGCAAAAGTCTGTGCATGAGATTTACTCTAGTTCCTAAAACACACAAAATATTATACTTTGTTTCCTTTCATTATTATATTTTATGTACATAAGTTATCACTTACCAGTCTATCAAGTATATGTCTGGCGTAAGACTATAAGATTTGAAATGAAGAAATAGTTTGGAGAGATTTTCTTCAAAAAATACTTCAAATGTTGCAAAATATTTCAACATCTAAAGATGGCAATAATAAAATTATTAAAGAGTGTACTATATAAATAGAGAAATTAAATCCTCAACATAAATTAACTTAAAATCTCTTTCTGAGTCTTTTCATCAAGTATTCATAAACTTATACTTTCAATGAAAAGTTTATTTTATTTTATTAAATTTATTGGGGTGACACTGGTTAACAGGATCATATAGGTTTCAGGTATAGATTTCTATGTTACAAGATCTGTATATTGCACTGTGTGTCCACCAACCTAAGTCAAATCCTCCCATCCCCTTCCCTCTAGCAACTACCACACTGCTGTTTGTGTTCATGAACTTCAGTTTTATTATATCCCACATGAGTGAAATAATATGATTCTTCACTTTTTCTTATTTCACTTAGGTTAAGGAAAGTTTATTTTAGACCAGATTATTTTTAGTCTTCTATTGTTTTCATTCTAAAAGGGCATTCAGACTACTGAAACTGACAGTCAACAATAAACATGATTCATTCCCAATGTTCATACCATGCTGTGATCCACACGAAAGAAGGCCAACTGGCATGGCTTATTCAGGAGATTTGCAAATGCAATGAAGGCATCTGCCTCTTCCAAATTGAGAATGAGAACTGCTGCTATGAAGGACATCCCTTGGACCTTCAAAGGGAAGAGAAATTAATCAAAATGGGCTTATAATAATAATTCTATACAGTTTATTTTATTGCATTCCTGAAAAATTACAAAGTGATTATTACAAGGTAAAATTAACCAAGATTTCTTTTTTCCCCCAACAAAAGTATATACAGAGAAGTCATTGATACTTATAAAATCTCCCTAATTTTAAATTTCTTGATCATATGGTGTGGTTTAAAAAGTGTTAAGGAACCCTGGCCAGTATGGGTCAGTGGTTAGAGCGTCGGCTTGTGGACCAAGGAGTCCAAGGGTTTGATTCCGGCCGAGGGCACATGCCTCAGTTGCGGTTTGTCACCAGCCGGGTTGGGGTCGTGCAGGTGGCAACCAATTGATGTGTCTCTCTCACATTGATGTTTCTCTCTCTTTCCCCCTCCCATGCTGTGTGAAGATAAATGTAAAAAATATCCTTGGGTGAGGATTAAAAAAAAAAGTATTAAGAAAAATTTTGGAGAAAAGTAACAGCTTTTACATGCTACAAAAAGCCTATCTCAGTGTACTACCTAGTTTATTTCCTATTTGTCTGATGTCTTTCAAAGTAGAGTACAGAATCCACAAAATTTAATGAAAATCAGGTGATTGTCTTCATTGTTATAACAAATCTGCCTGAGGCAGGAAGTGAGAAACAAAGAATAAAAGAGATCTATGCGAAGTGTAAGTGCAGGTTGAAATTCCAAGAAAGAAGAAGTTGTGGAGGCTGGGACAAGAGGCTGGATTCCTGGAAAAGCAGGAGGAGAAAAAAGAAAAGAAAACATCCCAAGACAAGAAAGATCTATAAGTAAAGACATACAAGACCAGCTCAGTTGGGGCACAAGACTTACGAAGGGAATAATGGGAGTAATTAGAAAAAGGAGGATATATTTACAAACTGGAAAAGGCCTTGAGTAAAAGACTAAGCTATATAGGTGCTTGTTTGTGAGTTATAAGGAGCTATTGTACCTTTCTGAACAGGCATATGGTATAAAACGGCTATTGTAAAAACATTCTTTCATTTAAAAAAAGTTTATCAAGCACTTACTTCTGGTAGAAATTTGTATAACAGACTTACAGAGAGGCCACTAAGAATATTTGCAAAAATACCTCTGTCTCTTTCAACTTTCTTAGCAACGTTTAAACTTTTTAGCACACTTCAATCTGGATTCCCACTCCATTACCATACTGTCTTGAAACTTCTCTTACCAGGGTAACCAATGATATTTGTTGTAAAACCCAATGGGCACTTTCCTACCCTCTAAGCAGAATTCTCTTAGCTTCTGTGATTCAGTATTTCTCTATTTTCCTCCTACTTCTCTGGCTTCTTCTGTGACTGTTTAACCAGAAGTCATAAAACCTTCATCTTTTCACCGCTGTCTCAAAATAGAAGAATTTTAGAGACCTCACCATAGGGTGGCTACCTGGTACAGCTTACTCTATTTTGTTGCATGTTCATCCGTACATTTTTTCATTCATTCATTCACTCAACAACTATTTATTATGTGCTTATTGCTATATGACAGGCATTGTTCTAGGTACTTGAGATACTTCAGTGAATAAGATTCTTGCAGTTTAGAAGGAAGAGACACACACTAAACAAACGAGTAAATCATATGTTATATTAGAAGGTGGTAAGTGCTATGCAAAAAGTATGGCACAGTAAAGAGGGAAAGTGCCAGATTTGGGGATGGGGCAGGTTGTATCATACTTTACTCTTTGTTCATTTATTCACCCACAGACCCCGTCTTTCCCTCTACTCTCATCCTTTTTTTCCTAATCATTTTGGAGAAAACAGAACACTTTTTTTTTCTGTTATCATAGTTTATTAAATTTAGGTAAATTTATCCAACCAGCTCTTGTTCTTTGAATGGGAAGGTATTTGACTGTTAGTCACTTTTCTTTCTGTATTTGTTTTGCTTCCTAGAAAGCAAAAACTTTTCTCTTGCCTGTAAGTAAAACTCTAAAAATAAACATGGCATTTTAGAAATTTTAATTTAACTAAACAGAGAATGTCGAAACTAAAATGTCTACAGAGGAAAAAGCCAACAAGCAGCAAGCCAATTCAGCTGCAAACTCTAAAAGGCTCAGGAACTGAGGTTATCAGGTATCTCTGAAAATGAGGGGTAACTAAAACTAGGATTGGTTGACAGTCTGTAAAAGGAGCAAATCTCCTCCCCTGTGCTTCCCTCAATGTGGAGGCACAGTCAGGAAAAGGAAGGTTAGGGATAAGGAGATAAGGCACCACACCAACAGCAGTGGCAATAAATAAAACTTTACAAATTGAATGGTGAAATCCAGCTACTCTCTTAGGAAGCTGGCAGCCAGCCTCATAAATCTCTGGTAGGAGATAAAAAGGTTCCTCCTCCCTGGGTAAGTTCATAGTTTCGAAGAAAAAAGACACAGAGATATACACATTTGGGAGCTAATACAATATAATATACTTGGATAAGACAGATTAAATGTTTATACTCAAAAAACAGATTGAACAAATACTTACATAACCAACATCAGGTCTGTAACATGTATATGCCCCTAAGATACTATGTAAGACATCATGATATGGGCCACCCTTCAGAGAGAAAAATGAAATGTCAAACTAAAAAAATTGTTTCCAAGTTAACTGTTAAATAACATGTTAATAAACTTTAGCATTTCCTAAATGACTAGTTTTAATTAGTATATTTAATCATTGTCAGAAATATTCTAAATACACTCTGTCAAGATGTTTCCTAAAGAACAAAAAAGTACCGGGGGCGGGGGGAAGAGGGAGAGAAACATCTGTAACAAAACAAACAAAAAGAGTAAAAAAATACTAAACAACAAAAAAGTCAAATAAACTCATTTGAGGGATATAAGCTATATAATTTATGTACATTTTTAAAGACTCTGGATTTGGTACAATAAGATTATAAGGAAAACAGATTGTTTGTTTGCTTATTTCTTTCATTAATTAATTAATTAATTAATTCATTCATTATTTTTAATCCTCACCTGAAAACATTTTTTCCATTTTCTGTTCAGATAGAGTGGGAGGAAGAGAGAGAGAGAGAAACATCGACGTGAAAGGGACACATCGAGTGGCTGCCACCCGCACAACCCAACCAGGGCCGGGGACAAACTGCAACTGAGGTAGGTGCCTTCAGCGGGAACCGAACCCGGGTCTCTCGGGACCGTAGGCTGATGCTCCAACCACTGAGCCAAACCGGCCAGGGCCAGATTGTTTCATTTTATATAATACAATTTCACAACAAAAGAAATGTCATCAAGCTACACTAAATTAATAATTTTTATCTGAATAAGAAAAAAATATCTCATTTTATCAGTCTAAAGTTAGAGAAATCCCATATATTAAAGATTTGAGTCAAATATAAAGTACATATAAAATGTAATTATTTCTCATAAAGTATAAGCAATTAAAAATATTTTTTTCAATTACAGTTGACATTCTATTATACTAGTTTTTGGTGTACAATATAGTGGTTAGACATTATATAACTTACAAAGTGATCTCCCCCAATAAGTCTAGCACCCACTGGCACGATACAGTTATTAAATACTATTGACTATATTCCCTATGCTGTATCTCTGTAAAAAACTTCTTAATACCCTCTGCACAACCCCCCCCCCCCCATTTCAATAGTAATTCTGAAAAATGTTTAAGTTTGGGGACAAATTCCTTTATATTTTAACAATTTATTAGGAAAAACTTTTAAAATTCAAAGATCTTACAGAATAAAACGTAAAACAAAGAAATTCACCTTAATGATAATTCATCAAGTACCTACAACATAAAATTATGATGTGCTATGTTAACAGCAATGTATTCAGTCAGTGGAATAAAATGATAAATTTTCCTACTAGTTTCACATTTTTTAAATATATAGTTCCCCAATAATTATAGTTTTGCCTTTTAAATAATAATAGCTATGAATTTAGAGAATCTGTTCACTTGGATTTTTTAAAAAGTAGTTAAAAACTGTTAGAAACCCTCACCTTCTGAAAGATGTAGAGAGATGGAAATGTACGGGATATGTCCAACTTAATTAATTCCAGACTGGCCTCCCGATCAGCAACAGATACACCTGTATTTGGCAGGTAAATACAGTTAAAATTATTACTTGGCCAAATCCAGTTCAATCTTGTAAACACAGAATGATCACATAGCATATAAGGAAAGTTAAAAGCTGAATAATCAAGAAATTTTAAAAAACGCCACATTGCTTTTGCTAGAACTTAGCAACTCTTCTGTGAAGAAAAATATTTATACATTTATCAGAAAGTTATATAGTGAAGAATTTCTACTAGTTTTTTTTTTTTTGTAGAAGGTAGTGTTTGTTGTTTTGTTTTATTTTAAATAGAGAGTATGTAGATTATCATTCCCACAATAGCTACTGGAAAAAAAATACATTTCAAATATTACATTTATTTAAAAAACTTTTTTTCTTTATTGATTTTTTTAGAGAGAGAGGAAGGGAGAGGGAGAGAGAGATAGAAACATTGATGAGAGAGACCATGTACTGGCTACCTCCTGCACACCCCCCACTGGGGATTGGGCCCACAATCTAGACATGTGCCATGACTGGGAATTGAAACGGTGATCTCTTGGTGAATGGGTTGACACTCAACCACTGAGCCACACTGGCCAGGCAAGTATCAAGTTTTTTTTAAAGAAAGGCATAAGAGCCCTGGCTGGTGTAGCTTTGTAGGTTGGGCATCATCCCATGCACCAAAAGGTTGCTGGTTCAATTCCCAATCAGGGCACAAGCCTGGGTTATGGCTTGATCCCCAGTAGGTAGTGTGCAAGAGGCAGCTGACTGATGTTTTGCTTTCACATTGGTGTATTTCTCTCTCCATCTCCCTTTTTCTCTCTATAAATCAATTTTTAAAAAAAATCTCAAAAAAAAAAAAGGCATAAGGGAGTTGTGTACACAGAGAGATCTAGAGAATTTAAATCCTAGAAAGAGAAGAGCCTTTCCTAGGTAAGTTGTACCAATGGTCATTTTTCTTTCTAGGACCATCCACCAAGTCTGCACATGGGCTCAGGATTGAGTGTGCCACAGAAAAAGGTACTTTGCTTGGGGAAAAAGAAACCAGAAGAACTTTCCAGGGACAAATAAGACTATGTGATAAAGCCTGAATGCACATCTGGTTTTGCCCTATGGGACTTTTGCTGAGTGCTAGCCTGGTATAGTGCAGAAAGCAGGGCAGAAAAGGCAGATTGAAATCATCCAAAATCACATGGTCCTGGAGAATGTCTCATTGAAGAAGGAGCCTGTAATCTAAATAGAACAGTTCTTCCCATTAAAAAATTTGAAACCCAAGATGAATTAAGTCTATCTAAAGCTGTAACCTTGCCCAGCCGGAATGGCTCAGTGGTTGAGCGTTGACCTCATTGTTTCAATTCCCAGTTAGGGCACATGGGCCTAATCTCCAGTGGGGGACACGCAGGAGGTGGCCAATCGATGTTCTCTCTCATCAATGTTCCCATCTCTCTCCCTCTCCTTTCCTCTCTCTCTAAAATCAATAAAATAAATAAATAAAGCTGCAACCTTGCCCCAGCCTAGCTCAGTTAACTGACTGAATTGAGGTGATAACCCAACTACCTAACAAAGAGCAAGCTCCCTCTGCAGGAAAGGCATCAGCTTCAGTTTAGACATTTTTCGTATATATGGCTGATATAAAGAACATATTAAAAAATATATAAAAACATATTTAAAAAAAAAAATGTCCAAAAACGTTTAATGACAACTGAAAGTTATAAACACCCAGGAAATAAGAAATCAGAAATTTAAATAGAACATTACTTTCATTAGAACAATTCTTCATTTATATTAATTTTTTTTTAATCCTCACCTGAGGATATTTTTCCATTGCTTTTTAGATAGAGTGGAAGGAAGACAGAGAGAGAGAAACCTCAATGTGAGAGAGACAGATCAATTGGTTGCTTCCCGGACGACACTCACTGGGGCTGGGGATCAAACCTGCAACCCAGGTACATGCCCTTGACCGGGAATTAAAACCGCGACCCTTCGGTCCATGGGCTGATGCTCTAACTGCTGAGCCAAACAGGCTAGGGCTACATTAAATTAATCTATACTAGAGTACAACTTTTACCACTTAATCATGAGAAAATATAAAAAACAAATGCTTAAATTTTTCATTCTTATACTTTCAATACTTCATAAAAATGAACATAAAAAGAATGATGCAACACCTACATCTTTATCTTTCGTTTCCCGCAAATAGCTAATATAGCTAACAGGGATGATACTTACATGAACCTTTGTCAAAATCAAGTCTTCTCTCTAACTTTGGTTAGTCAATTTTCCTCTCTCTACTGTTCACTTTTCTTTTTTTCAATTACAATTTATATTCAATATTATTTTACATTAGTTTCAGGTGTACTGTTTACTCTTCTCAAACAGAAAAAAAGAGTATTCAAGAATTTAACAGACTCGTTTACATACTAATAGAAAACCAGTATAAGATATGGATCAATTCTCTCTACTAAGCCATGTTCATCTTTATAGTTGTACTTACAGGCAAGAGAAGAGGGTTTGCTTTTTTTTTTTGTATGTACCCCTAGCGGGAACCGAATCTGGGACTCTCTGGTCTGCAGGCGGATGCTCCAACCTCTGAGCCAAACCGGCCAGGACAAGAGGGTTTACTTTCTACTGAGTAGAACAAATATAAGAAAAGTAACTGGCAAATGAATTTCCATTACTGAAGGACAAGAGATGATTGAACAGCCCTGGATGGTTTGGCTCAGGGGTTAGAGCGTTGGCCCGCAGACGAGGAGACCTGGGTTTAGTTTCCGCTAAGGGCACGTACTACCTTGGTTGCAGTTTGTCCCTGGCCCTGGTTGGGGTCGTGTGGGTAGCAACCAGTAGATGTTTCTCTCTCTTTCTTCCTCCCTCTCTCCTTCCTATTCTATCTGAAGATAAGTGCAAAAATGTCCTCGGGTGAGGATAAAAAAAAAAAGAGATGGTTGAACAAATTTACCTAAATTTAATAAATTATGACAACAGAAAAAATAATTTTTCCAAAATGATTAGGAAGCAAATTGATGAGATTGGAGGGAAAAAGGAGTATATGAGTGAATTAAATAAACAAAAATTAGTCATGATAAGAATTAAAACTAATATATTAGGGAGTGAGTGAAAGTCAATGAGAGGGGAGACAGGAGGTCACAAGTAAGATATAAAGATCATTTATCTTGCCCTGGCCGGTTTGGCTCAGCGGTTAGAGCATCAGTCTGCGGTCCAGAGAGACCTGGGTTCGGTTTCCACTAAGGGCACGTACCTCGGTTGCAGTTTGTCCACGGCCCTGGTTGGGTTGTGCGGGTGGCGACCACTCAATGTGTCCCTTTAATGTCGATGTCTGTCTCTCTCTCTCTCTCTCTTCCCCACTCTATCTGAACAAAAAATGGAAAAAATGTCCTTGGGTGAGGATAAAAAAAAAAAAAGATCATTTATCTTTAAGTTAAGAGTTGGCCTAAAATGCTTCACCCCATTAGTCTTGACTATTGTGATTTAAATCCTGGGCTCCGTGGAGAGTATTTTGTAAGCCAGTCAGAGAAAGACAAGTATCACATGATCTCACTTATTTGTGGAATATAATGAACAAAATAAGCTGACAAAATACATCCCAAGACATAGAAGTAGGGAACGGACTGACAAATCTCAGAGAAGAGGGGATGGGGTGGGGGAGTAGGAAGACATAAACCAAGAACTTACAAACATATATGAATAACCAATGACATAGACAACAGTGCGGGGTTGGATTTGGGGGGTGTGTGTCAGTGGGGGAAAAAAGGAAGGACATCTGTAATACTTTCAATGATAAAAAAACAAACAAACAAATCCTGGGCTCTAGATTCCAACAACCTGGGTTTACATCATGGCTTCACTGCTTACAAGTTAACTACTATGAGTTTCATTTTATATCATCCAGGAAAATACCACCTACTTAAAAAGTTATTAACATTAAATGAAATAATATATGTAGAACAATTCTATAGTTCCTGACACACGGTAAAAATCACACTATTATCTTCAGTGACTAGATTTTCATCCAGAAATTGTTAACAAAAAAGAATCATACCTTTTCTCTTCCACAAGGCAGTGGAGCAGCCTCCCCAGCAGATGAAGAGATATGGATCTTTGTAAAGACCCTGACTGGCAAGACCATCATCCTTGAGGTTGAGCCCAGTGACATCACTGAGAATGTCAAAGCTAAATTCCAAGACTAGGAGGGCATCCTGCCTCACCAGCAGTGTTTGATTTTTGTGAGCAACAGCTAGAGGATGGCCGCACTCTCTCAGACTGCAATATTCTCCACCCTGACCATGGTGCTTCTCTGCAGAAGCCCTTCCTCTGCCAGCTCTCCCAGAAGTACAACTGCATCAAGCTGCAAGTACTACACTGCCTGTACCCGCGTGCTGTAAACCGCTGCAAGAAGTGTGGCCACACTACAACCTGTACCCCAAGAAGAAGGTTAAATAAGGCCCCTACACCACCTCCTCCTCTAGCCTGCAGGGTGGCCTTCCCCCTGAACCCCATGGCCCAGGGGCCTCAGTAGAGTTTCCCTTTCACTGAAAATAATAATAATAATAATCACACCTTCTGTATCATTCTCTGAACTTGTTTCACTGAAGCTTTTCCACCGTTCTTTTGCTCTTGATAGGAAGATTTCATAAAGTTCTGGGGGGAAAAGAACAAAAATTCATAAATAGTAGGAAAGAAATACATTCACATATTTTTATTTTTACTCTTAAAAAAAAGATCCCTTACGTAGCTGGCATAAAAAATGTGGCAAATTGAAGTACTTGATTATACCAAAACTACTTATTACACACCAGAAAGATAGCAAATAAAAATATTCCACAGCAGCCATCCAAATAGTTACAATATAGAAGGTCTGTTCTGTATGAGGCAGGTAGAGACGCTTCTGCTAAAGGAGCCATTGTGGAATAGCAGAAAAATGATTTTTGGAGTCAGTCAGACCTATATTCAAATTCTAGCTCTGCCACTTACTACCTGTGGGACTTCAAGAAAGCTATTTTACAACTCTGGAACTTGGCTTTCTTCATCTATAAACTGGAGAAAAATAATACCTATTCATGGGTTACTAATGATTAAACAAGCTCATTTAGTTAAAGCTCCTTACAGACCCTCAATAAATGCTAGTTCTTGCTTCCTTTTCCTTTGAAACTGGTTTCTCCATTATGATACTGCTATCTAAAGCTACATAAACTTCGAGCAAAGGTTCACATACAAAAATCTCTACCCCTGTCTTTTACTTTAAGTGCCTGATAATCACTTTTTGAGACCACACTTTACACTTTCATGTGCAGGATCTCATTAAAACTTCAAGAACATAAAAACTGAGATTTTTCTCAATTCTCAAATTTTAATTGTCTTTACTTTCTAACTAACCATTATAGATATTTTTTAATTCTACCAAGAAAAAAAAAAAAGACAGAGGAACAACAAATATATATTTCTTGCCCAAACACCATTTATATTTTGCCCCAAATACCAAGAACATTTTTTTTGCTTCAATTAATCTTGTTTAAAAAGCATGTTTTAAAGGTAATACAGGTACAGAATTTTTTTTTAAATTTCAAAAAGTACAGAACAGTACAGAATAAAAAATAAATTTACTTCCCTCAGATGCAACTATGCTTACCAAAACTCTGAAGAAAATATGCATGCACCAGTACATACATATTTATCTTCATTTTTCAAAAAATACAAAGTAGCACCAAATTAATTATAGCACTGATCTGCAACTTGCTTATTATATTGAAAGTTGTTCCAGGTTAGTAGAATATGTCTGCTTTAGTTTATTTTTTAAAAACTGCACAGTATTCCAATGTATGATTGCACCATAATTAGTATTCTTATACTGCAAGAATCAGATTATTATAAAATAACTTAGTAGATATATTCCAAACGGATTATTCTGATCTCTTCTTCTTTCTGTTCACTTTTCATTATTACTAATGGTTTAGAAGGAAGAAATTAAAAAAGAAAGAAATCAAATTCAAAATTTCTATTATTTGTGCTTCACTTCATTTGGTATAAAATCTGGATATAAGTTTTAAATTTAGATATCTAATTTTTTTGCAGTTATCAGGAACTAAACTAAAGTTCAGACTTTTTATTTCAAACTGTTTCCAAGCCAGGTCCAGTTTCATTTTTATACTCAAATTTTAAAATTGTCTTGGAAGAAAATAGGCTCACCAAACAAATCTATCACCTCTAAAAGCTACAAAATTGATCCAACGATAAAACTGTGGTAATGCAATTCAAAACATCAAAGGACATCACTCCAGGTAAGATTTACAGTGCTTATCTATAAGAAGAAGACCTGCATCTTAATTCAATTTCTTGCTTGACTTTGTATGTTATATTTATTTTATTTTGAATCTACAACTGTAAAGCTTTGAAGCAGACTTAAAGGTGTATCACAGGGCCCTGGCTGATTTGGCTCAGCAGTTAGAGCACTGGCCTGTAGACCAAGGAGTCCCGGGTTCAAATCTAGCCATGGGCACATACCTTGGATGCAGTTTGTCCCCGGCCCTGGGGTTGTGTGGGAGGCAACCAGTTGATGATACATCGAGGTTTCTCTCTCTCTCTCTCTCTCCCTCCCTCCCACTCTATCTGAAGATGAATGGAAAGATATCCTCGGGTGAGGATTAAAAAAAAAAAAGGTGTATCATAGGAACAGAAAATACTTTATCAGTTTATACTTTGCTTTCTGATTTTCTGACAATGATGGTATTGTATATACTCTTGGCAAATTTCAATTTCACTATAGTTTTATACTCATTATCACACCCAAAAAAGTAAGAACAATTCTTTGAGATAACTAACAATCTTACCTCCATTTTACAGATGAAGAAAACTAAGACTTCTAGATGTTAAGTAATTTGCCCAAGGTTACAAACCTAATATTTAGTAGAACCAAGATATGAACCACATTTGACTGACGTTAGAACCCTTATTCTTAGTTACTATTCCTTAATGGTGATAAATTTCACGATTAAAACAAATATAATAGGTAAGGAGTTAAACTAGTATAGCTACTGAAAGTAAACAGGTTATCAAAAGTATATTTACTTATCAAAATTTAGCTTCCTTTCCACCACAAATGAAAGAGAGAATGAGTATCCATTCCATTCCTAAATACATAATTGTTTTTTTAGAGAAAACCTAAAATTACTTTGAAAATAAATGGCCCAGTTATTTCAAGGTTAAAGAAAACAACACATTTTGAGTACAATATCACAAAAGGTTAATACCAATTTAACCAATATTTCAATGTCTAAGTTATCAGGATACCTAACATTCTAAAGCCAACGTTCTCAAGAAAAAAATACTGCAAACAAAACAAAAACTTCAAATAGCCACCAATACTTCATCGCCTCATCTGTATGCAAAACCAATTCCTAACACTTTAAACAATTACATTATGTTCAACAATCCTTAATATTCGTGATTTTAATTATCTAATGGAAAGTTCTAACTATAATGTAAAAACATTTCCTTTTAATCTGTTCCGAGCACAGAAGGCTTAAAAGAAACCTTTGTTTTATTTGGAAAGAAGAGTTAAGTCATGTAGAATCTAACCTTTGCTAAGTTAACTTAAAAACTCTCAATTCTTCCTCTAAATTCTATTTAAAAAAAAAAAAAAAAAAAAAGTCCAGTTAAAACAAACATGTTCATTATGGGATACCTGTGTAAATCAATTTTAAAAATCATACATAATCATGTTTTTCAAAGTTGACATCACTTTTAGAACAAATATTTTTATTATAATTCTGTCCAGTTATATATAATGCAGATTACTGCAATGAACACCCTTACAAAAAAGCTTCTGCACCCAATTCTGATTATTTCCTTTAAGTAGATTCTTAGAACTGAAATGAACAGGTTAAAGGTTATGTGTTTTTTTTTTTGAGGCTCCTGATAAATCTAAATTATTTTCAGTCACAATTTATGTGGGTGATTCTCAGTCTTTTTTTTTTAATCCTCACCCGAGGACATTTTTCCATTTTTTGTTCAGATAGAGTGGGAGGGAGAGAGAGGAAGAGAGAGAGAGAGAAACATCGATATGAAAGGGACACACTGAGTGGCTGCCACTTGCACAACCCAACCAGGGCCAGGGACAAACCACAACTGCGGTACACGCCCTTAGCAGAAACCAAACTCGGGTCTCTCTGGACCACAGGCCGATGCTCTAACCGCTGAGCCAAACTGGCCAGGGCAATTCGCATTCTTTTTAATCACTTTTGATTCGAAAAGTAAACATATATGTCATTGATTGATTATCGCTAGAAAAATGGTTAAATTAAATATAGTACAGCCAAACTGGAATACAGTGCAGCTACAGTAGTATGCTTAAGACACTGTTGTATGTACTGACATGAAAGGATGTTCAGGAGAGATTATAGATTAAAGGCAAGCCACTGAATAATCTCAGGGCATAAACTCCTTTTTGTTTAAAAGAAAGATAAAGAGAAGCCTAAAAAATTATCATATGTAGAAACACATTTTTTTATGTGCACAGATAAAAGATCTGAAAGAATATCCACCTAATTGCTTACTTGTACTTACAAGTAGGATCAAAAGCCAGAATTTGTGTGGAAGAGGAAGAAACATACAGTTTATACTTTACTGGTGCTTGACTCCTTTACAATAAATATATTAAGTAATAGTAACAATATATTATTTATATTATCTCTAACTCTTTTTTTTTTTTAACCATATAAACAAGAATGAACTGCTTTTTATTGCTGCAAGGTATAAACAGAACACATAAGTAGGGGTGGGGGCAGGATATGCGATTAAATCCCACTATGTTGGGGCGGGGCGGGGCTTCATTGGTCACCGTAGTTTCAGCATTGGAAATTCGAAGGTGAACCAATACACTTCTTGGAAGATAAATTTCCCTTTCCAGAAAAGGCCATGACATCTTTTACTTGTGCCACAAAATATACAAAAATAAGTGATGAACTATTTCAAACATTTGTTCAACTGAAGTTTCTTTTTTCTAATTGAATTTATTGGAATGACATTGGTTAACAAAATTATATAGGTTTCAGGTGTACCATTCTATAGTACCTGATCTGTATATTGTATTGTGTTCACTGTCCCAAGTTCCCTGTCTTTGTATAGGCTGCCATTGTATAGCATTATTATTATTACTCAGACCTATGTAGTACCTTTTATTATTAACTATTTTACATTTCCTCCATTTGATATTATCCTAATTTTATTTTTTTATCCTCACCTGAGGACATTTTTCCATTTTTTGTTCAGGTAGAGTGGGAGGGAGAGACAGAGAGAGAAACATCGACGTGAAAGGGACACATCGAGTGGCTGCCACCCTCACGACCAACCAGGGCCAGGGACAAACTGCAACTGAGGTACGTTTCCTTAGCAGGAACCGCACCCGGGACTCTCTGGATGGCAGGCTAACGCTCTAACCGCTGAGCCAAACCGGCCAGGGCTGTTTAAATTTTTAAACTTCATCCAAACTACTCTACATTTTACTTCTATCCTTCAAAGTTTCAAGAAACTTAATAAAATAAAACAAGTCTTCTTTTTGTTTTTTAAACTTTAAAAATTTCAAAATCCAAAGAACTGGTTTGAGTAGAGATGTAGAAAAAGAAATATCTAGCCTTTCCCCAATATTCATGTTTTTGTTTTTAATAAAGGGGAAACCTTTCCACAATTAGACTATCTCATGTTTTTCCAAATATATATATATTCTGTTACCTAGAATCCCAGAAGTTTTTGCAGTTATCTATAATAAAGATATTTGGATGTCAAAAATATTATTGATGGTTGTAAACTAAAGGAAAACCCACAAATCTTATTTTGATAATATGAAATATAATAAACAAAATCAAGCAGGTTTTAGAGGGGGATGGTGAATGAAACACATTCTTAAGATGACATTGTACATGGTAATGCCTTTTTAAATGGCTAATCTACTAATCTGCTTTGTAACTCTGGAGATGGCTACCTGTATGTGTGGGAGTAACTGAATATAGAATACAAACCAGGAGTGATATTTAGTTCATTTCCTACAGCTAGACTCCAAACTTTCCCACGAACACTAGGGGGCAATCCCTGCCACCACAATTCTCGAACTCTTCTCGTACTACGCCTAGAATTAAAGGGGGAGAAAAAAGGAGAAAGTTACTTTTTACACCAAAAAATACTAGCTGCATCATGGTTTACCTACATTTATGGCCAAGTGACTGAATGAATTTTTTTTAATTGTTGAAAATATTACAGCTGCCCCCCCCCCCAATGATTTTAAAGAACACTGAAAGTTAAGTATATGATGCCTTCTTTCCATTGGGTTCATGTTTGTAGTAAAAAAAAAAAAGGCGTAAAAAATATATAGCACCCTAAAGAGAGAACTGCAGTTTAAAGGGAACTGCCTTCTATGGCTGCCATTTATACTGATAAAATGAAAGAATAAAAAATATATGATGATTATGAAAAAACAGGATAAAAGGAACATAAAAATCTGTTGTTAATTCAGTACTCAAAAGAAAATGATGAAGTATTTATTATGGGTAAGGCCCTAGTCTTTGAGAGGCAATGTAGTCTGCTTAAAGAGTGTGGGCTTTAGAGTCAGATAGACCTGAGTTCAAATCTGATTAACCATTCATTAATTGTATAACCTTGGGCAAATCACTTAACCTGTCTGACGTGGAGCTTCCTTATAAAATAAGTGGGAGTAAAGGTTGTAAGAATCAAATGATCACTTATGTAAAGAGCCTAATATAATATCTGTCACATTGTCCAATATTCAACAAATTCCTAATGCATATCCTATACTAGGCATTACAGAAGACATCTCCTACCCGCCAGTCTAGAGGGAAGATAAGGCATGTACAAAAATATTATACGAGACAAAGTAAAGCAAGAAATATGTTAGTCTTGAAGTATAATAGGACATTACAGAAGGAAAACATCATATATTTTATGATGTTTATATACATATATATATACACATACCACATTCTCTTGATTATGAGAGAAACATATTAAAAGTCACTTTTATATTTATCATGTAATAATTGCATCTTGTAATGAATATATATAAGATTTAGTATTTTCTTTGCAAAAACCGGCTATGACATCAATAGTGCATCTTACAATAGATTTATACGTTAGAATTAAGAAAATATGTTAACTAAGGAAAAATTAAAAGTTTCATGAATCAACTAGCATTTCAAATGGGACTCAAAGAATAGGGAAGATTCTGGCAGGCATAGAGGGTGGTCAGTAAGAAAGAAGGTATTAGAAATTGAGGGTTTTATAAAAGCAAAGACACAGAGAAAAGAAAATTTCAGACACTGCTTAACAGTATAACTTAGCCAAAGAATAAGCTACATGGTAGAGATAATAAAAATAGAGAATTGGAAACATGAGATCTTTGGAGAAAGACTGGAATTTAGGAAAAGTCTGCTTACTTACATTACTTCCCAATTGGGCAGTATTTCATTGATCCAAATTACCATTGCATTTGCAATATTTTCTTCTTGTTTAAATCTTTCTTTCATTATTTTTTTCCTTTTGTGTGCTTCTTTAATTTCTGTTTTAGACAAGTAAGAATTATTTTAAAACAAAAGAGCTAGATCAAAACTCCCTTCTCCTTCTACCTAAGCCTACAAAAGAGGCTTTTTCAAAAAGAATACACTAACAAAAGGAAGGAAGAAAAAAAAGGGAGAGAGGAGAGGAAGAAAAGAAAGGGGAAGAGAGAAGGAGGTAAAAAGAGAAAGAAAATAAATTTGATTAATGTAATTTTAAAATAACATCTCCTATTCTACAAAATGGTACAAAGGCCAGAAAAAACATTTACAAAGATTACAGTATCACATATTCTATTTATATTTAATGAAATGAAATTTGCCATGAATTAACTATGCAAAAAATAAACAACCGTGAGCAACTAACCAATACTCTTTTTTCATACAAAGGGTTTATGAACTTCTTCACATAAAACCATGTGACATTAAAAACCGAAAATGATGTTTCACTTCACTAATTAGATTAAAAATTTTAAGTCCCCCTAATACACACGCACAAAACAGAAGTCACAGTTTCAGAAGAGATGCCTCAAAAATAGAGAAGTGAAATATACACACACACACCCCACACACATAAAAATAAAATTTTAGGACCGGTGGGGACTTCACAGATCAGCTAGCTAAAGTGTTTTCTAAGTTGTTTCACATATGCATTAGGAACTATCTTAAGGGGCAAGCAAGAACCCAAGTATGACAGATCCACTTCTTAAAATTTGTTTTATTTATTCAGATGTTATGTCAGATTTCTCTGGAGAAGGTGCCACTGCTTTAAAAAATTTTAAAAACCAGTGTTGCCCTGGCCGGTTTGGCTCAGCGGTTAGAGCGTCGGCCTGCGGTCCTGAGAGACCCGGGTTCGGTTCCCGCTAAGGGCACGTACCTCGGTTGCAGTTTGTCCCCGGCTCTGGTTGGTCGTGCGGGTGGCAGCCACTCGATGTGTCCCTTTCACATCGATGTTTCTCTCTCTCTCTCTGTTCCTCTCTCTCCCTCCCACTCTACCTGAACGAAAAATGGAAAAATATCCTCGGGTGAGGATAAAAAAAAAAAAAAAAACCAGTGTTGGTGGAGGGACCTGAAAGTCTGCATCTAGTTGACCTGCCCCCACACCCCTTTTTCAGATGAGAAAATTAACATTAGGTCTACTCAGAGTGTTACATCCAGGTAGTGTCAAACAGGATTAAAGCTGTGACCTTTTGATTTCCCAATTCACTGTTACTGCTATCATATCATGTTCTTAGGATTATCTACTTATCAGTAACTATCTAAACTATAAATTAAATATTAAAGACATTGTTGAGAGTCAAAATTCACTGGATATGTTAGAAAGATTTCAAATTCTGTATAAAAAAATAAATTCAACCAATGTTTAAATAATCGGGACTTTATTAATTAATTAATTGTTAGTTAATCCTCACCTAAGGATACTTTTTCCATTGATTTTGAGAGAGTAGAAGGGAGGGGGAAAGAGAGAGAAACATTGATGTGAGACACACTGATTGGTTGCCTCCTACAACCCAGGTACGTGCCCTTGATTGGGACTCAAACCCATGACCCTTTGGTCCATGGGCCAATGCTCTAACCACTAAGCAAACCGGCCAGGGCTAATTAGGCCTTTATTTTATTAGCTTAATTAGGCCTTTTAGAAAGATATAACTGGCCTTAAAGGTTTACTATAAGAATTAAATTCATTCCTCGCTTCCCCTCCTCCCTGCTCCCCTGGTCCCCTATCCCTGAGGCCATTTGTATAAATAAATTTTTAATAAAGAATTAAATTCATTTCCAAAATACTACCACAAAATAGAACAGTATACTATTATAACATTCCATTCACTTAAGTTAAGAAAAAACCATCAATTGTTTAAAAAGAGCATCCATCGCCCTGGTCAGTTTGGCTCAGTGGTCAGAGTGTCAGCCCACGAACCAATGAGTTGCGGGTTCAATTCTGGTCAAGGGCACATTACCTCGGTTGCAGTTCATCCTGGGCCCTGGTCAGGTCGTGTGGGAGGCAATCAGTCAATGTATCTCTCTCACATCGATGTTTCTCTCTTTCTCCCTCCCACTCTATCTGATGATAAATGGAAAAATATCCTTAGGTGAGAATTTTTTTTAAAAGCATATGTCAAAAAGTGTGTGTGACACCTACACACATAGCTGTGTAATATTTTCTAAAAATATATCCTGAACTAACAGTGCTTACTAAATAAACACTGTTAAATTATCCTTACGTTATACTTTTTGGTCGAAGGATAGAATGAATGAATAAATGTGTGAATTTATGCACACAAGAATACACATTTATGTGCCTGTCCACATAATACAACTGGGACTCTACAGAGACTCCATTAAGTCACAAAAGCATATTTTAATTTCAAATCATATTCTCAAGGCCATATAAGAAGAAGTTATCGTAAAGCGTTAAAATTATTAAATTATAAGATATCAAAAGCCTAAGAAGTGTGTAAGAAGTGAATTTCATGAATAAATTCATAAATATCTTCATTTATAAGTTAAGTAGTCCAAGATTTATGACTGTGATTACAAGATCTCTCATTTGTCTGCTGCCTTTCTCCTCATATTAGTTTTGTAAAAATACTTACAGAAGGACTATGATCCTAGTATGACATTTTATTTCCCTTTAAGAACAAATATAGTTTTAAAAATGAGAAATCACCATCACCATAAAGACCTCATCAATTTCACCATCCACCTTCCTGTTGAAACTCAGTAAATTAAATTTACCAACTGGAGTTAAATTTTATACCTCGTTTTTTAGCCTCAGCCACCATCTCATCATATTCTTGTCGGTGACGTAGAGCTTCTTCCACAGATTTGGCAGGAAGATTTCTGGGGGAAAAAAATTTAAGTCAATTTTTAGAAGACTAACTTTTAAATGTACTAACTTATTTTTAATAGCGAAATGAGGTGAGGCAAGAATTTCTAGCCTCACTTTATTTCATACATTAAGAAAGTAAAAGGTTGGTCCAACCGGTGTGGCTCAGTGGTTGAGCATTGACCCATGCACTGAGAGGTCGCTGGCTGGATTCCCAGTCAGGACACATGCCCAGGTGTGAACCTGATCCCTGGAGGGGGCTTACAGGAGGCGACCAATTGATGTTCTCTGTCATCGATGTTTCTATCTCTCTCTTCCTCTCACTTCTTCTCTAAAATCAATAAAGTAAAAAATAAATAAATTTTTTTTTAAAGAAAGTAAAAGGTCGAATAGAAATCTGCAGTTTAGAAAAGAACCAGAATATTTGTTATATATGTTATATATACTTATGTCATATATATATGGTTATGCATCATTTTTGAATGTCAAATTTTAGTCAATATTTCTAGGTTATCTGTTAAACCTACTATACATATTTAAAAAAAATAATTAAAAAAAATATTTTAAAAACTTATTTTAGAGAGGAAAGGGGGAAGTGAGAGACATCAATGAGAGAGAACTCTGACTGGCCACTTCCTGTATGCTCCCCACCAGGGATTGGGCCCACAAACTTGGACATGTGCCCTGACCGAGAATCAAACCGGCGACCCCTTGGTGCATGGGTCGATGCTCAACCAGTGAGCTATACCAGCTGAGCACTACAGTTTATTTTTCTAAGTCAAGTTTTTGGAGGTATAATTTACAGGGGATAAAATGAATGAATATATTGTTAGAATATGGTTTGATGAGTTTTGACAATTTTATAAGCGTTTGCAATCAACATACCAAGCAAGATACAGAACATTCCCAATATTCCAGAGTTTCCTAATGACCCTTTGCACTCAATACTTACCCACCTCCTACCTTAAGCAAACACATCTGTGATTTCTATGACTATACATTAGTTGTCTTTTTTTTTTTGGTAATGATTGTTGATGATAGATCATTATGTGATTCTTTTATTTTTTCCTTATTAATATTACAAAGATCGAGATAGAAACGACTGGCCGCCTGCTACATGCCTGCCCCACTGGGGATCAGGCCCACAACCTGGGCATGTGCCGTGACTAGGAATCGAACTGGCAACCTCTTGGTGCATGGGTCAATGCTCAACCACTGAGCCACAACGGCCAGGCTAGTTGGTTAACTTTTAAAGAGTTTCACAAAGATTGCTTTTGGTCTGGCTTCTTTTGCTCAGCATATTAAAAAAATTCACCCATGCTGTTCTGTGTATTACTAATGCATTCCTTTTAATTGGTGAGTAGTGTTCCATTTATCCATATGGATGAACATTTAGATTTTCCAGTTTGGGGCCACTATAAATAAAGCTACTATAAATATTTATTTCAAGTCTTGTGTGGGAATCCGCCTTCATTTCTCTATGGGAAAATACCTAGAATTCCTGGGTCACATGGTAAGTGCAGGTATACTTTTATAACAAACTGCTTTGCACTTTTAGAGTTTTAAGACAATGTTATGAATAAAAATTTGATAATCAGTTGATCACTTGCCTATACTATATTTTGATTTATAAAATTAATGGCTTCACAGTGATATATATATATATAATTATGCAAAAAGAAATATATTTAAGTATTATCACATATTCAAATGTATCATAATAATGTCTGGTTTTGGGAGTCAGTTTTTCTCTTTTTTTTGGTTAATCCTCACCCAAGGATATGAATATTTTTCCACTGATTTTTAGATAGAGTGGAAGAAAGGGAGGGGGGGGAGAGAGAGAGAGAGAGTCATTGATATGAGCGAGACACATCGATTTGACTGTCTCCTGCACAACCCCAACCAGTGCCAGGGATGGAACCTGTAACCCAGGTATGTGGGCTTGACAGGGAATCAAACCCTCAACCCTTTAGCATGTGGGCTGGCGCTCTGAACTGCTGAGCTGAACCAGCCAGGGTTACAGTCAGTTTTTAAAATTATTTTCAACATGTTAGGGTAAGGAAAGGTGCGTGATAAACTTTCAAATTATACGTTGTACCTCTTCCTCTCCTCTCAAGAAAGGCAGATTCTTCAGGTATGTTGTAGCAGGGATGAATAATGATTAAGACTGCTGCTTCAGACCATAATAAAATAAGAGGGACCAGGTTTACCCTCACCTTAATTTAAAAAATGAACAAAATATTTTAAACCACAGTGTTTAGACACTGGACAACAGGCAGTAGAAGGCAATGACTGTTATGAGAAAGGAAACAAACACAAAGTAAGCCTTCAAGTGCCTGAACTTTACAGCCTGGAGTTTCCAGGTCTCAGTGCTGGAAAGGCAGTATGTAAACAGTCTGGAGTTAGAAAGTCTGAGACAGCTAGACCTTGAAGATCAGAGTACCAGAGAGAAAGAAGTACAGAGAATTCCTTTGAAGTCTCTGTTTGAGTACTGATCTATGTATCTGTGTGATTAAACTATGATAGCCAGGGAAAGAAACACCAGAAAGGAATAGGTAGAACATTCTCAAAGATCACATTGGACCAGCAACAGTGAAAAGATCTCCTAATAGATAGGGTATCAGGTGGAATCCTTAGAGTATTGATTCAGTAGTAAGGATAAATTAGCCACTAGCCACATGTAGCTACTGAGCACTGGAAATGTGGCTAGTATGCTTAAAGGACTAAATTTTTAATTAAAAATATTTCTAATATGTTTCTACTGTTTTTTTTTTTTTTTTAAAGAGAGAGATAGAAACATCGATTGGGACCTCCTGCACAACCCCCACACTGGGGATCAAGCCCACAACCTGGGAACATGCTCTGACTGGAAAATGAACTGGGACCTCTTAGTCCATTGAATGACGCTCAATCCACTGAGCCACACCAGCCGGGCTAAAAAAAAAAATTTTAATTGATTTTTAGAGAGAGAAAGGAAGAAAGAGAGGGAGGAAAGGGGGGAGAAAAGGGGAGAAAGGGGGGGGAGAGAGAAAGGGAGGCAGGGAAGGGGGAGAGGGACAGAGAGAGAAAGACACACATATTAATTTGTTATTCCACTAATTTATGCCTTCACTGGTTACTTGTTGAATGAGCCTTGACTGAAGATCAACCTGAAATCTTGGTGTATTGGGACAATGCTCTAATCAACTGAACTACCCAATCAGGGCATATTTAATTTTAATTTTAATTTTAAATTTAGATAGCTATACGTGGCTAGTTGCTACCATAATGGACAGTATAGGTCTAGACTCTAGAGAAACAGGAAGCAGTAACTGCCATCTTGGTCATTTATGTAAGGGAATGGAACTAAACTATGAATAAGCACAAAGTCACAAATTTTAAGTAATTATAGAACTGTATGTCTCAAAACCATAGTTATAAAGGCCTAGTTAATAAGTTCCTTTATACACATGTTTTACTGACAATTCACACATTGATATTTCCCACACTGTGCTGACCTAGTCCTCACAGAAGGTTTCAAGAAAAAAGAGATTCCCTGGTTGGGTGGCTCAGTTGGTTGAAGTGTCCCAAGAATCAAAAGGCTGTGGATTCGGAGCCCCGTAGGGCCAGAGAGGCACCCAGCTTCCACGGGGAGGAGGCTGAGGCTGCAGCTTGAGGGAGGACCTGGCCCCTCAACGCCTGTGTCTGGCAGAGCAGATGTGAGACAAAGTGACAATCCTTCCCTGCCGCCAGGATAATCCAGTTTTGGCTGGACCTCCTCTGAGCACACAATGAGATAGTGAGGAGCCAGATGCAAAGCATAGTCTATGGTGCTGAAACAGATTAATAAGGAATTTAGTGATTTGGCCCATGACCCACCAGCACAATGTTCTGCAGGTCCAGCTGGGGATGATGTTTCATTGACAAGCTACAATTATGGGACCTAATGACAGCCCATATCAAGGCAGTGTATTCTTTTTTTTAACTTATCTTTATTGTTGAATGTATTACAGATGTTCCTCATTTTTCCCCCATTGACCCCTCCTCTCCACTCCCGCCCCCCTCCTGCCTTTCCTCACAGTCGCCTGTGTCCATTGGTTATGCATATATACATGTAAGTTCTTTGGTTTATTTCTTCCCACCTCCCTTCACCCCTTCCCTTTGAGGTTTGTCAGTCTAACAACCAATTTGTCCTTCTTAATTCCTTCACCTTTTCCACCCATTCCCCCCAATCCCTCTCCCAACTGACAACCAACAAAATATTCTTTGTATCTATGAGAATGTTTCTGTTCTGCTTGTTCATTTTGTTTGTAGATTCAATTTCGATAGATATGTATTCATTGCCATTTTGTCTGTTCATATTTTTTATCTTTTTCTTCAAGAAGACTCAACATTTCATATAATAATGGTTTGGTGGTGATGAATTCCTTTAGCTTTTTCTTGTCTGGGAAACTCTTTATGTGGCCATTGATTCTAAATGACAGCTTTGCAGGACAGAGTAATCTTGGATGTAGGTTCTTGCTTTTCATCACTCTGAATATTTCTTGCCAGTCCCTTCTGGCCTGCAAAATTTCTTTTGAGAAATCAGCTGACAGTCTTATGGGAATGCCCTTGTAGGTAACTAACTGCTTTTCTCTTGTTGCTTTTAAGATTCTCTTTGTCTTTGGGGGTGGGGGGGGGGCTCGATCAGAAGGACTTGGGCTCCCCGCCCCCATCTTGAACCTTTTGCATTTTGATGATGTGTTTTAGTGTGGGCCTCTTGGGGTTCATCTTGTTTGGGACTCCGTGCTTCCTGGACTTGTATGTCTGTTTCCTTCACCAAGTTAGGAAAGTTTTCTGCCATTACTGTTTCAAATAGGTTTTCGATTTCTTGTTCTCTGTCTTCTCCTTCTAGCACCCCCAGATGCGAATGTTGGCACGCTTGAAGTTGTCCCAGAGGCTCCTTACACTATCCTCATATTTTTGGATTCTTTTTTTTTTGTTGTTCTGATTGGGTGTTTTTTGCTTCCTTATATTCCAAATCGATGGTTGGCTTTGTGGCTTTACCTACTCTAATATTGAATCTGTGTATATTATTCTTTTTTTGAAAAAATATTTTTTATTTACTGATTTCAGAGAGAGAGAAAGGGAGAGGGAGAGAAAGAAACATCGATGAAAGAGAACATTGGCCGCCTTCTGCATGCCCCCCCCCCCACTGGGGATATGGCCCACAACCTGGGAATGTGCCCTGACTGGGAATCAAACTGGTGACCTCTGGCTGCATGGGTCGATGCTCAACCAGTGAGTCACACTAGCTGGGCTAAATTATTCTTTATTTCAATTAGTGCCTCCTTCATTTCTGACTGTGCATCCTTCATTTCTGACTGGTCCTTTTTTATGTTCTTGAGACCCTCACTAAGTTCATTTAAGTTCTCACTAAGTTCATCGAACATCCTTATAAGTAGTGTTTTGAACTATGCATCTGTTAGGTTGCTTATCTCCATTAGCTTAGTTTTTTGTTTGTTTTTTTTATCCTTACCCGAGGACATTTTTCCATTTTTTGTTCAGATAGAGCGGGAGGGAGAGAGAGAGAGAAACATTGACGTGAAAGGGACACATCGAGTGGCTGCCACCGCACAACCCAACCAGGGCCGGGGACAAACTGCAACCAAGGTACGTGCCCTTAGCGGGAACCGAACCCAGGTCTCTCTAGACCACAGGCTGATGCTCTAACCGCTGAGCCAAACCGGCCAGGGCTAGCTTAGTTTTTTTCCTGGGGTTTTGTTCTTTCATTTGGGACCTGTTTCTTTGTCTCCTCATTTTGGCTGCCTCCCTGTGTTTGTTTCTATGTATTACTTAACGAGAGGTATGGGGCTAGCTGAGACCAGATGCTGCTTGTTTGAAAGAATTTCAGAAAACTTGAAGCAGGATCCAAGATAATCCAATCCTGTGGTAAAGCAACTGGCAACAGCTTGGGTGGGCCTGAAAGTTGGGTGGGGCGGGGCCTCAGGGAATCACCAGGGTGGGGCCAACATTGTGAGCCAGGTTGGAGTGCCAGATATGGCGGCTCTCTGCTGTTCCAGAGAAGGGCTCACCAAAGTAACAAAGGCCTCTGACAGCACATCTGTCCAGGAGAAAGCTGCCTCTCCAGCCCCAGCTCCAATGCCAAAGAACACAGTTTCTCCCCACACGTTTCTGGTGCCCCTCAAGCTGCCCTCCCATGCTGGAGCCTGGAGGGAATGAGTCCGAGCAAGTCCGTGTGTGGGCCCTTTAAGAGGAGCTGCCTGGGGCTCCTGCAGCCTCAGCCTCAGTTCCTGCTGGTTTTTATAGCCAAAAGCAATGGGGATCCTCTTCCTGGCACCGGAACCCTGAGCTGGGCACCTGGTGTGGGACAGGGACCCCTCACTCCTCAGGGATGACCTTCCCAGCTGAGTTGTCCTTCTGATTTTTATCCGCCACATGTGGGTGTGGGACCAGCCTGTCCGCCTCTGCCCCTCCTACCAGTCTCGGCTTGGCGGCCCCTCTAATCTCATAGTTGTAGGACTTCCATTCAGCTTGATTTCAAGTGGTTTTGAATAATGGTTGTTCTGTAGTTTTGATGTGGTTGTGGGAGGATGTGATACCTCATTTACCTACACCGCCACCTTGACCGGAAGTCCAAGGCAGTGTGTTCTTTTTGACACATTCATTTTCCTACAGACTACCCCTTCAAATCACTGAAGGTTGAAATTACAACAAGAAATTATCATCCAAATATTAATAGTAATGGCAGCATTTGTCTCGATATTCTAAGATTGCAGTGGTATCCTGCATTAACTACTTCTAAAGTTCTTTTATCCATTTGTTCACTGCTATATGATCCAAACTCAGATGACCCTCTAGTGCCAGAGACTGCATGGATCTATAAAAACAAAGATAAGTGCAACAGAATATCTCGGGAATGGACTCAGAAGTATGCCATGTGATGCTACCTTCAAGTCAGACTAACCTGCATTACATCTGGAATGAACTTTATTGTTCCTGATTTGATTTTCTTATTTGGCTGCTTCCCTATCAGACCTCATCTTTTTAAATTTTATTTTTTGTTTAACTCCCTCCATTCATTCACATGCTCATCTAAGAAGACTTGTTCTTCCAGCTTTGGACAATAACTGCTTTTAGAAACTATAAAGTAGTTACAAGAGAATAGCTGTCCAAGATCTAGAATTTTTTAAAAAATGGAGCATGTGTATTATGTGGCTAATGTCTTCACTCTAACTTGGTTATGAGAGTAAAACCATTCCTCACTGCTCTATCATGCTAAAGAAATCATCTGAGGGGGAGGGAGATGAATGCTCAGTTGTCGCATCAAAGGAAACAGCATTATTCTAGCAGTATCCATTCTTGTTTAAGCCTTCCACCATTAGAGATCTGAGGTTGCATGATATACTTTATGCTCAAAACTGATATGACTGGAGAATTGGCATTGAATTTATAGCATCAGCAGAACAGAGAATTTGATGCATTTCAAGCATGTCAATAAAGGAATGACCTGTTCTTGTTCTACACAGAGTGGAAATTGGAAGTCAAATACCCCTTTGTATTCCAAAATAGGGTCTCAAACATTTTGTAATGTTCATTTAAATTGTTAGGAGGCTTGGAGCTATTAGTTAATTTATCTTTCAATACGCTATTTAATATAGCACTGAAAAAATGATGCAAGTTGTCAATGGATGAGTAACACCTCTGATAATCATTGATTTATTTTTCTTCAATAAAGTTGCATAAGCCAAAGAAGAAAAGGCTGTGGATTCTATTCCTATTCAGGGCACATACCTAGGTTGTGGATTCAATCTTAGTTCAGGGCACATATGGGAGGCAACTAATTCACGTTTTTCTCTCACCTTTCCTCTCTCTAAACATATCATTTGGCGAGTTTTAAGAAAAAGAAAAAAAGAGGCTAGTGTATAGCTTTATATCTTAGCATTAAACGATTTTTTGTTTGCTTGTTAATCCTCACTCAAAAATATTTTTCCATTGATTTTAGATAGAGTGGAAGGGAGGGAGGGGGGGAGGCGAGAGAGAGAAAAAAAGAGAAACATAGATGTGAGAGAAACATATCGATTGGTTGCCTCTTGCATGACCCTGACCAGGGCTGGAGATTGAACCTGCAACCCAAATATGTGCCCCTTGACTGGGAATCGAACTCAAGACCCTTTGGTCTGAGGGCCAATGCTCTGCCAACCGGCTAGGGCACATTAAATGATTTACATAAAAGAATTAAACACTGGCCCTGGCCAGTTTGGCTCAGCAGTTAGAGCGTCGGCCTGCGGTCCTGAGAGACCCGGGTTTGGTTCCCGCTAAGGGCGCGTGCCTCGGTTGCAGTTTGTCCCCGGCCCTGGTCGGTTGTGTGGGTGGCAGCCACTCGATGTGTTCCTTTCACATCGATGTTTCTCTCTCTCTCTCTGTTCCTCTCTCTCCCTCCCACTCTACCTGAACAAAAAATGGAAAAATGTCCTCGGGTGAGGATTAAAAAAAAAAAAAAGAATTAAACACTGTTCAGGAAACAGAACTTTTCAGATCATCCTACATGAGGTGTATTTTATTGTGATTTCATGTTTTTGAAAATGAATACTTATACTATAAAACACAATAGTACTTAAATAATAATTATTCTATGTCTTGGTATTCCCTTCTTTGAATCATCATATGCAAAAAAACCTTGGTATATAGTAGGTATTCAATAATCATGATCCAAAGCTGAAGATCCATATGATAAATATCCTACCAATCTTTTTTTTTTTTTTTATCCTCACCCGAGGACATTTTTTGACATTTTGTTCAGATAGAGTAGGAGGGAGAGAGAGAGAGAAACATCGACATGAAAGGGACACATCGATTGGTTGCCACCCGCACGACCCAACCAGGGCTGGGGACAAACTGCAACCAAGGTACATGCCCCTAGCGGGAACCGAACCTGGGTCTCTTCAGACCGCAGGCCAATGCTCCAACCACTGAGCCAAACTGGCCAGGGCAATATCTTACCAATATTTGACAGTCTAAGGAAGAACAGAGCCTCAGTACCATAATTGCTAAGTAACTATAGGCTCTACAGTAAGTAAATAAAGCACAAAGACAAATACATATGCAGACTTTTCTTTTCCCTTCCCCCAAAAATCACTAATGTTACAATCATCTGTTTGGAGAAGTAAATAAAAAAATCAAATTCTTCTGTCAAAGGCTGAATGAATATTTTTGATAAAGAAGTATTAAACACCTCACTTAGCACTTAATCGCCATAAGAAAAAGATATAGTTTATTTCTCTTTCTAATGAAAGTGTCACTTAGTTATGTGGTCAAGGCAAGAAACCATTAATAAATACCTAAGATAGTAAATCATGCTAAAAATCACGTTATGTGATTTTTTTTGCATGTGATTTGCTGCTACTTGAAGGTGTTACACAAAAAATCTATACTTTAGCCCTGGCCAGTGTTGCTCAGTGGTTAGAGTGTTGACCTGTGCACTGAAAGGTCTTGGGTTCGATTCCTGGTCAAGGTCATGTACCTAGGTTGCAGGTTTGATCCCCAGCCCAGGTTGGGATGTGTGCAAGAGGCAACTGATGGATACGTCTCTCTCACATTGATGTTTCTCTCTCTCTCCCTCCCTCCATTTCACACTCTCTAAAAATCAATGGAAAAAATATATCCTTGGGTGAGGATTAACAACAACAAAAACCTATACTTACTTTTTTGTCACCTTTCACTTGTATTATCAAATATTTCTACCACTTCATTTGATACTAGTGTGAACAGTAATTCAATGAGGAAGCTAGAAGAGAAAAGGAGGTGGTTTTCAAAGAAAAAACCATTGGTGATTTTCAAAGGAAAAAAAAAGTTCTGTAAGCATAAGATTTAAAAAATTAAGAGGGTCATATTAACACAGTCAGCTAGCATGAATGTTCTTATCTTCCTGGCCACGGCTGTCTTTATTGTGAGGTGGATGGACTAAGATTGGAACAGGAAGAGAGAAAATTAACAAAAAGATGAAATTACAGAAATTCCTATGTTTGAAGTCCCCTGATACTTCAGATGATTAAATACTATAATTGCATCATATGTAAAAAGTTTTTACTGCAAAAACCTATGCTGTAAATGATTTTGGGTGTTTCTACAAATTAAAGGCAAAGAAAGGAAACATAGCACCAATTCACAAACTCCCTTTGCAATGGGAAACTCCTCCTTCCTGGTATTATCACTTTGACCGATGGAAGAGGACATTTCCAACATCAATTCCAAGATGGGGAAATACTTCTGCCTTTTTCTCCACCTCCTCATAGATGTTATCTCATAGTTGTAGTAGTGTTAACAGAACCTGGCTGCATCCACAAACAGAAGAAACCTAAAAATTATACAAGTCTCTCTTCCAGCTTTTCAGCCTGTGAAGGGATGGATGTTAGTTGGTCCAAATCTGCTAGAAGAGTATTCTGGGGGAGATAAAGAGGAAGTGCCATTTAACACTCAGGTTGCACCCATGTATTCTCATCTGGTTTTATCCTCAATAAAACTGAAGTTTTCATTCTCATCTGTTCTCTATATCTATATTTCAATTGTTGGAGTAGAGGAAGGCTGAGTGATTAGGTACTACTCCCTATTCCAACGTCACAGAAAGCCTTTGTTTGTTGGTTACAGTTACACAAATGTAAATCATATAAGACATTTCCCCCCCAAAAGACCACTTCAAATCTAAAAAGGTGAGCAACATTTTAAATTAAATCACAGCATCTAAGAGTTGAGTGGAACAGTAGCTATCAATTTAAATCTCTATATTACACACACACACACACAGAAACATCACACAAGCTACAATATTTATTACAATTAACATATTAATTTCAGGTAGTTAATAGCATAGTGAAAAAAACTACTTTTCAGTTGTTTATTCATTTTTGGTACACTGAGATCTTATAATGTTATTGTGTATGGTGTATTTTTTTCAAGTTCAAATTCCATGTTAAGTTACAAGAAAAATTTAAGTAGATTATCACTGAAGGTTGGAGATGTCAACAAAGACTTGACTTGATAGAAAAGATAAAGCCTAATTTCTAAAGGATTAGGTATGTGAGCAGTAAAAAGATAACTGTATTTCAAATTAGGGCAATACCATGAGCAAAGGCATGAAGGCAAGACTTACGTTTGACTGTAAAATAGAGGATGGTGTAAAGAAAAATTTGTCCCAAAGACTATCTAGCACAGAAGATTTTGCATAGTATTTTTTTGTGTATGTGTACTTATTTGCCTTTTTTTTTTTTTAAATACTCATCCGAGGACATTTTTCCATTTTAGAGTGGGAGGGAGAGAGGAAGAGAGAGAGAGAAAAACATTCACGTGAAAGGGACACAGAGAGTGGTTGCCTCTGGCACGACCCAACCAGGGCCAGGGACAAACTGCAACTGAGGTACGTGCCCTTAGTGGGAACCGAACCAGGGTCTCTCTGGACCACAGGCCGATGCTCTAACCGCTGAGCCAAACCAGCCAGGGCTGCATAGTATTTTTATAAACTCTTTCTGGGAAGAAATTAACATCCCTGGTAAAAAGCTTAATCCATTTTGGATACATTTAATAAGTTTAAGAAAGCTCTTCTTGCCCTGGTCGGTTTGGCTCAGCGGTTAGAGCGTCGGCCCACGGACCTCAGAAAGTACTGAGTTTGGTTCCTGCTAAGGGCATGTACCTCAGTTGCAGTTTGTCCCTGGCCCTGGTTGGGGTCATGTGGGTGGCAACCACTCGATGTGGATGTTTCTCTCTCTCTCTCTCTCCCCCCTGCTCTTTCTGAAGATACATGCAAAAATGTTCTCGGGTGAGGGAAAAAAAAAAAAAAAAGAATCCTACTTCACGGAAATTCATTTATCGTGGTAGAGTCTGGAACTGAGTAACCACGATAAACGAGTGCCGACTGTAATCTCTCTCTCTCATCAATGTTTGTCTCTCTCTCTCCTCCCTCTACCTCCTCCCCTCCCTCCCTCACTCCTTCCCACTCTATTTGAAGATAAATGGAAAAATATTCTCAGATGAGGATTAAAAAGAAACAAAGAAAGCTTTTCTTCTGGGATCTTAGTTATTTTCTACCTACTCAGCTGTCAGTCAAGAGTCAAAAGATCTTTAACCAGGTATTCTTTTCTTGCTTATCTAATCACTCTTTGAATCTGCCTGGCTCATTCTTCTCTTCGTCAACAAGACCAATAAAACTTTGAACCCAGGCCGGTGTGGCTCGGTGGCTGAGCATCGACCCATGCACCAAGAGGTTGCCGATTCGATTCCTGGTAAGGGCATATGCCCAGGTTGTGGGCCCCAATCCCATTGGGGGGCATGCAGGAGGTGGCCAATCGATGTTCTCTCTCATGGATGTTTCTAACTCTCCCTTTCCCTTCCTCTCTCTAACATCAATAAAGAAATAAAAAATAAAAGACTTAACATGTTCTCATAACTAAATTTCTGAAGAGCTGTTTAGTTTTCTTACCAATGGAAAAATAAATATGAACATATTCATCAAATCCTTAAAGAAAAAAGAAGCACTGGGATCACAATTCTTTCACGTAAAGAAATGTAACAAGAGCCCTGGCCAGTTTGGCTTGGCGGTTAGAGCGTCGGCCTGCGGTCCAGAGAGACCCGGGTTCGGTTCCCGCTAGGGGCATGTGCCTCGGTTGCAGTTTGTCCTGGGCCATGGTTGGGTCGTGCGGGTGGCAACCACTCGATGTGTCCATTTCACATCAGTGTTTTACTCTATCTGAACAAAAATGAAAAAATGTCCTCAGGTGAGGATAAAATAAATAAATAAATAAGAAATGTGATTTTCTTCTTTTGGCTTCTGCGCCTTTTGCAGGGCTTCCAACAGCAAAATGTTGGGACAGAGCATTCGGAGGTTCACAACCTCTGTGGTCCGTAGGAGCCACTTGAGGAGGGCCCAGGGAAGAATTTGCCATTTTCAGTGGAGAACAAGTGGCGCTTACTAGCCATGATGACTTTGTACTTTGGATCTGGATTTGCTGCCCCTTTCTTTATAGTAAGACACCAACTGCTTAAAAAATGAGGATGTTTTAGTTAATTCATGAAACAGATATGAAGAGGAGCATTTTAAGAGGTGCAGTTGCTTTGAAAAATGGATCAAACTGTGTAACTCAACATACTAGATATGTTTGTAAATAATCTTATGGCATGAGTCCTTAATGCCTCTTCTCTGAAATACAAAAATGTCATAATTGAAAAAAAAAAAGAAATGCAACAAGAATTAAAGAATAATGTACTTATGTCCAGCCTTTCTTCTCTCACAATGTGTAAAAAATATTCAACCTCTGACTGTTTGGATCCAGATCCTTTTATTTGCTCCTCAGGATAACGGGCAGAAAAAAGCTGTAGACCAGGAAAATGTCAAAAATGTTAGGAATTATTACACTGGAAGGAAAGAGAAGGCTAGAAGAAGAAGAAAAAAATACCCAGAGAGCCCAAGAAGGAGAAAAGAAGTTAAGAACCAAGTGATCTTGCTTTAGGGAAGGTATGCTTTTTTAAATAACAAATCAGAAACAATATTTTGAAGATCAGCAACTTCGTGGACCAGTGAGATGGGAAAGGCAGAAATGGGAAGAGAAGAATTTAAGATGGTTTGCTGGGTATTAATAGTATATTTTAAGTAATACTGTAGTAAACCAACTGGTTGATGGTTAGTCGTTAACATTTCAAGTTCCAATTTCAAAAACTGTCCAAAAGTCAAGGACAAATTCATCTTAAGTACATATTAAACATCAAAAAAGAAAAAATAATTGCCTTGTCACATTCAGATAAGGCAGAGGAGGGTCAAAACATAAACAAATATAAAAAGCCAAAATTTTATGTCTTATACATTGGCTCATAGAGAAAATATGCCTGAGGCTTAAATATTAACAATATATTCCTCCCCGTTCATTTTAAGATGCATGACTGGGATTTAAAACTTTTAAAAATCAATTTCTCTATCTAATTTCTTGTTATCTTTTGTGTGAAACAGAAAGCAAAATTAAATTTAAGTTTAAAATATAAACAGTGTGCCTGATGAGCACTAGACTACTTACGATGGTCGATCCTCAAGAATTAGGGCAGTGGTAGAAAGAGGCTCAAATTCAAAATTCTTACGTCTTGAAGACTGAGGTGGTGGCTTACAGGTCCTCCCTGTTCGGGCTTCATATTCCTAGAATACATAAAAATATACTATATGCAGAGACTTTCCCAATTTTCATAATATCCTAAATCTGTATCATTAAAAAAATCTGTATCATTACGCTATAAAAGGGACACATACAATTAATATATTAATCTGATAAAAATATTAGGCAGACCAAAAAATAAGTCACTTTTTTCCCTAAAGCAAACTAAATTATGCATGTACATTACATATAAAGTATCAAAGTATGGTAAGAGAAGGAAGGGAAGATAAAAATACAGTAGATTAATGAGGTAAGGTTTTAGGGAGATATTCTTGATTGCCTTCTAAGTACAAGTCTAGTTCTGAATACTCTACAAGCAGACAAACCTACTTTCTAAACCTTCAGCCAAATCAATGATGGAAATGTTGACACAAAATTATCCCATTAAAATGCTTTCAAATGTCTTTCAAGGGTGACACTGAACTTCTAATCAAATGCTGGTTTTGAATTCCAACCTACTTTGAATCTAACTTTTATAAATCTACCCACTTATTCCAAATTTAAACAATTCACCAATATATCTTATCCAATAATATGTCCAAAGAATGGTAAATACCTCACTAAAATTAATAAACTGTTACTATAGTAGTCTCCTTTTAACTACGGGCTCACTTTCTGTGGTTTCAGTTATCTGCTGTCAACCGCAAACCAAAAATATTACATGGAAAATTCCAAAAATAAACAATAAGTTTTAAATTGCATTCAGTCCTGAGTAGCATGATGCAATTTCGAGCCATCTCAGTGGGACATGAACCATCCCTTAGTAGTCCTGAGGGTTATCAGATTGCAGTCTCTTAGTAGTCTTCATATGGCAGTAGTTATCATATGGTAGTGCTTGTGTTCCTAATTCTTGTCAGAAAATCAATAGTATACTAAGGCTATGTCACAGTGTCTACATCATTCACCTTACTTCACCTCATCAGGTAGGCACTGTAGCATCTCACATCTTCGTAAGAAGGGTGAGTACAGTACAATAAAATATTTTGAGAGAGGGACCACATTCACATAACTTTTACTACAGTATATTGTTATAATTGTTATATTTTATTATTGTTGTTGTTAATCTCTTACTGTGCCTAATTTATAAATTAAACTTTATCACTGGTATATATATGTATAAGAAAACACACAGCATACATACAGGGTTCTGCACTATCCATGGTTTGAGGAACCCACGGGGGGTCAAGGGTAAGAGGGGAAACTACTGCATAGTATTTTTCAAATTCCTCTGAACTGATAATCCTATTAACAGAAATAAAGGTACGTTTGACCGATGTGGCTCAGTGGGTTGAGCGTTGACCCATGCACCAAGAGGTTGCCAGCTCGATTCCCGGTCAGAACACATGCCCAGGTTGAGGGCCCGATCCTCAGTGGAGGGCATGCAGGAGGCGGCCAGTTGATGATCTCTCTCATCATGTTTCTATCTTTCTCCCCCTCTCTCTCATAAATCAATAAGGGGAAAAAAATTTTTTTTAAAGAAATAAAGTTAATTTGATATGATATGTTCTTGGTGGACATACTTAAATTTCTACATGTGGGCATTTTTTCACAAATGTTCACAAACTTCTACAAAAATTGTTTCTAGAAATTTGCCAAAGATCAATAAAAATTTAATGACTTGTAATTGCCAGAACCCACATTTTCCCTTTCTAAAAAAATTTTATTCCTGGCTGGTTTGGCTCAGTGGTTAGAGTGTCAGCCAGTGAACCAATGAGTCTGGGGATTGATTCCAGTCAAGGGCATGTACCTCCCCAGCCCTGGTCAAGGTCATGCGGGAAGCAACCAGTCAATGTGTTTCTCTCATGTTGATGTTTCTCTCTCCCTCCCTCCCTCCCACTCCATCTGTAGATAAATGGGGGAAAAAAATGCTTTCGTGGGGATTAAAAAAAATTTTGTTTTTAAATCAAGCTAGTGCTTTCTCATCACTAAGTAAATACATAACATATTTTTCATGAAATTCTCAAAGATTACTCAATTTCATGAATAGATTTGTAAGCCCACTGACAGCTAGAGAACACATTAATTTCTTTCTTTCTTTTCTTTTTTTATCCTCGCCCGAGGACATTTTTCCTTTTTTCTGTTCAGATAGAGTGGGAGGGAGAGAGAGGAAGAGAGAGAAAAACATCAACATGAAAGGGACACATCAAGTGGCTGCCACCTGCACAACCCAACCAGGGCCACGGACAAACTGCAACTGAGGTACGTGCCCTTAGCGAGAATCGAATCCGGGTCTCTCTGGACCGCAGCCCGACACTAACCGCTGAGCCAAACTGGCCAGGGCGAGAACATATTAATTTCAATGAAGAAAATTCAATTCACTTACGGTAGCTCATTGTTTCATGTATGGCTGCTTTCTTATCATGGTCTAATATTCTTTTTATATTATTTGCTTTTACAACTCAAAGACTATTTCTCCCTACTAAATCAGACATTTGAAAATATGAACTGATGGTTCTATCCCTCTTAAAAACTTGACGATCTTGTTGAAGCTTAATCTTATTTGAGATATTACTTTAAAATATAATTCATGTTATCTTAAGTATTTTCTGTAAACTTCAACTTACTTTATGGTTCCTGCTGCTGTTTTACAAAGGTTTGTAATTTTATAATTATCTTTAGTTCTATATCTCCCCTTCCATCTACATCTCTGTTAATCTGAGTCCCTTTGTTTGTATAACTGCACTGGATTTTTAGAAACTTCTTTCTCAAATTAAATAGAACTGTGTACATTCGTTTGTAACTCCCAACCCAAGGAACTGAACAGTCTTTTAGAGTCAAAAGCCATTGATGGGGTCACTCATTTCTTTTTTTCTTTCTCAATTTTCTAATAACTAGGATACACTTACTATATATAAAACATTTATTTTTTTCATTACAAACTCAAGTATTAACAAATCCCCCTTTCTGGTAATGTTTTTCCTATTAAAAACCACATATGACAACTTCTTGTCAAGATGGCAGCGTAGGCAAACACGGTTATCACCTCCTCCCACAACTACATCAAAATTACAACTAAACTACAGAACAACCATCATTCAAAACCACCTGAAATCAAGCTGAATGGAAGTCCTACAACTACGGAATTAACGAAGCAGCCACATCGAGACTGGTAGGAGGGGTGGAGGCGCATCAGGCTGGCCTTCTCTGGGGCCGCCATATCTGGTTCTCCAGCAACCTGGCTCACACTGTTTACCCCGCCCTGGTGATTCCCTGATGTCCCACCCCACCCAATTTCCAGGCCCACTCAAGCTGTTTCCAAAGGCTTTACCATAGGAATGGCCTGTCTCAGATCCTGCTTCAGAGTTTCCTAAAATCTCTCAAACAAGCAGCATCTGGTCTCAGTGAGCCCCATACCTCTCCTTAAGTGGCCCCAGTCCTGGCACTAGAAGCAACCAGCTTTGGTTCACAACTTGGCTTTTCCTGGACACCTCCAAGTCCAGCACAAGCAGCAGCCATCTGCAGATCACTTTGTAGCTTATGCTGGGTGGCCCCGGATATAACATAGGTAGTGGCTGACCTTGCCCCAGAGACAGCACACCCAGTGGGCAGCTTCAGACCACATAGAAACTCCACCACTCAACCACCTCCACAAGTGACACACTCAAAGAGCAGACTCAGTGGGTGCCAGAGCCCTGATGAAGTAGGTCTTGCTCTGTGTGGTGGGCCCCTACACAGCTGATCCTTCAAGGTAGTCAGAGGCCAGTGGCTACTGGGCACAGCCAGTTCTTGCAGCTGATCAGCCTGAGTAAATCCCTCCCATTGACATGCCAACAGCAATCAAGACTCAATTACAACAGAAGGGTGTACAGTCCATACTACGAGTATACCTCGAGGGCCCAGCTAGGGTGATCTGGGAGACTGTGGCACTGGATCTTATAGGACACCTACAACAATAGGCCACTCTACGAAGCCTAGGAGTCATATCAACTCTACCTAATACATAGAAACAATCACAGGAAAGCAGCCAAAATGAGGACACAAAGGAACATGTCCCAAATAAAAGAAAAGAACAAAACTCCAGAAAAAGAACTAAACAAAATGGAGATAAGCAATCTAACAGATGCAGAGTTCAAAACACAGGTTAAAAGGTTGCTCAAGGAACTCGGTGAGACATTCAAGGAACTTAGTGAGACCTTCAAGGAACTTAAGGAGACCTCTGAGGAACTTAGAACATCAACAACATAAAAAAGAACAAGTCAGAAATGAAGGATGCACTAACCGAAATAAAGAATAATTTACAGGGAATCAATAGCCAAGAAGCACACCATTGATTTGCAATATAAGGGAGCAGAAAACACCCAATGAAAACAGCAAAAAGAAAAAAGAATCCAAAAAATTGAGGATAATGTAAGGAGCCTCTGGGACAACTTCAAGTGTCCCAACATTCGCATCTGGGGGTGCCAGAGAGAGAGCAAGAAATCGAAAACCTATTTGAAACAATACTGACAGAAAAGTTCCCTAACTTGGTGCAGGAAACACACATACAAGTCCAGGAAGCACACAGAGTCCCAAACAAGTTGAACCCCAAGAGGTCCACACCAAGACACATCATCATCAAAATGTAAAAGGTTTAAGACAAAGAGAGAATCTTAAAAGCAGCAAGAGAAAAGCAGTTAGTTACCTACAGGGGAGTTCCCATAAGACTGTCAGCTGATTTCTCAAAAGAAACTTTGCAGGCCAGAAAGGAGTGGGGCAAGAGATATTCAAAGTGATGAAAATCAATGACCCACAACCAAGACTATTCTATCCTAAAAGCTATCATTTAGAATTGATGGACATATCATAGTTTCCCAGACAAGAAAAAGGTAAAGGAGTTCACCAGCACCAAACCAGTATTATATGAAATGCTGAAGGGTCTTAAAGGAGAAGAACAAAAATATGAACAAGAAAATGGCAATTAATACATATCTATCAACAACTGAATCTACAAACAAAATGAGCAAAGAGAACAGAAACAGACTCATAGATATAGAGAACTTTTTGT